AAAAAAAAAAAAAAAAAAAAAAAAAAAAAAGGATAAGACAAAAAGAAGAGAAAAGAAAATAGTACCATACAATAAATAAATGAATAAATATATACATCATTTACATTTATATTTTTCCATTTTGTTAGTAATCAATTTATGATTTTTATGATGACAGAGTTACTAACTCCAATTAAATATTGTTTTCGCGTAAATCACGGTTTGGGTCGAACGAGTTTCTATGTTTTCTTATTGGACAGAAAGATATATAGAGTACAAACAATAGCAGTCTCTAAATTTCTTAAAAATAAACTATTAATTTGTTTACCAACATGCACGTTTGGCGCTTGCTCAAAGCGAAAATCACGAATCCTTCCTCCAACTCGAGAATCTTTCTCAAAGATACWAACTCTAGTCTCTTTCCCAGTCTTCAGAAGTCTGTAGGCCATGTAGAGACCAGAAAATCCTCCACCAACAATACCGACTTCGCATTTGAGAAAAGCTAAAAGACAATTACAATTAAGAGCGTATGTCTGTAAGAATCAAACAAAATCTGAAATCCGCGGCAAGGTTCAAATCTTGAACTGAGAGTTTTGCTACGCGGACCAAGCGAGCGCAAGCAATTTTTAGCCATATTTTGATAGCGAGAATCGTCTCGAATCGTCTCGAAAACAAAACAAAAAAAACATTTTTAAAAACTAACYACACWGCGTTTCATTTCAGAGCAAAKTCGAAAAATCGAGCCTTGCCGCAGTATGTTTGATTYTTACAGACATTAGCTCTTACTTAAACAATAGTCCAGTTTCGAGTTCCACATTATCGCCTTGTTTCAAGATTAAATACTATAATTTACACAGGTTTCACCTCAATGTTTTTGCAGAATATTCACGTGTTCAAGTAAAGGTCCGTCGAATTTCAAATTGTTCGCATTGTTGAAGTTGTGCATTCTTTTTTTTACCGCTGGTACTTGTGAATATTTAAACACTGATACGAGGCTAACCCCTGAGTAAATGAGTCTGTAATCAAGGAACAAAGCAGTAATTTGGGATTCGAAAATGGACTTCTAATTTATTATCTTTGAATTTGACAAAGAATGGAGATGTAGGGTATGTGTGTTTCTCATGGGTAATCTTACGGCTTACTGAATCACGGTTTAAGTTTTTTTGTTTGCCAGAAAAATAGAGTATCCATTGGTCATAACTGCACTGACATTAGTTAAAAAGTAAGAAATCACTGAATTATACCTATACGAACCTTTCGAACGAAATAGGAATTTGCTCCAACGAGACCCTTTAGAAAGGATAAATGAAGAAGCTAAAAAATCAAAAAAGTGGAAAACAAAAACGTAAGAAAACTTAATGGTAGTATCATTATAATTATTACTATTAGTAATAGAAGTACTGGTAGTGGTAGTGATGGCAGTGGTAGTGGTAGTGGTAGTGGTAGTGGTTTTATTACATTTTGCAGCTGGTTTCAACTATGCATCACTAATTTTTTTTACATACCTTGCGCACAAACAAGCAAACACGTACAAAGAATGAACCAATTCATCACAGATATTTATGAAATCGTAGACAATATATTTTCAAGTATACTGTAAAAAATGAAAGAACAGAAAAGGAAACAAATAAAAACCAGACAGGCAGGCAAGAAAAACAAAACAACAACAAACAACAACAACAACAACAAAACAACAAAAAACAAACAAAAATACAAAAAACAAAAAAACAAAAACAAACAAACAAACAAAAACGAAAACAAAAACAAAAAAATGCATTTCTGATTACTAATTTCCCCAAATAGACTAGGGCGGATCAATTGGTCCTGGGAGTACTCAAGTTCAGCAATCGCACTGGAGACCGCAGAGAGAATTGTCACTGACCGATTTTTTACCCCTAATAAGAGATGTCTCATTGGTGTCTCATTGGTGTCTCATTGCAGAGGGACACCAATTTGGCGGCCAAATCACGCAGGTTAAAAATAATGTTCATATTGCAAACATTTCAAATTTTCAATAACAATTATCATAAAAATAAATTTRCGAACCATCTACTAGGTTAAAAATGTTTTATTTCAATCAAATTCTCATATTTCTTATGCCTTCCTAACCTACAGTAAMTGGGGGACATAAAAGAACCTGTKGAATTATTCGTGTAAGAGAAGGGGATTGTCTCCCGGTTCAACAGCCTATCCCAATTTGGAGACACAACACTAATGTACTWACAAATAACTCATGATTRTAAGCTGCATGGCTGCTAATAGCGCCTTAATATGCAGCCCGTAAAGTCCTACACTGCAATGTAAAGCTCATTGAGACAATGTGAAAATGCGCCATATGAGAACTTCATTATTATTATTATCATTATTATTATTTGCAAATGCGTGACGGAATCGCGTAACAGAATTGCATGGTCTCGCAATAAATCTAAAACCAAACATCGATGATACAAAATTATTCTTGTAAGACTTTTCATATAAAGCTATAAACAAAATATTCCAAAAACAGTTTTGTGKGGTGAGTACTTTCAATTTTAGATTTTTGGTGACGTCACGTGAAAACCAACAATACACAAACAACATTTGGTCTGCCCAARGGCACTAGGGCAAAAATTGGTGTTTTACAAGTCGTTAGACTCCGTTATATTGGTGTTTTKTAAGCCGATAGAAACTGTTTAAACTGTTACTTATCTGTTCTATTATGTGCTGCCTTGATTTTTTCAGTTTCCCGTCTAGTACATACGCCAAAAATGCTGCTGTGACCAAAGGTTCAATCGTACATAACGAACTACTGTATCCTATACCTGTCTCGTGAYTGCTTACGTAAGCGTACGCGACGGTTAATAAGTTAATAGGTTAATCCAAATCCCCTGAATAACCACTTCTTGCTCAAGCCCAAAACACGGGCTTTCCGTCAATCGAACTCACGATATCAACCAAATTCAAACCGAGCGAATTGACACYAATGCAAAGCTTGTGTTTTATCCCAAATAGAGTAAGAAAACAATTAGCGAGGAAATTCAAATCAAAAATYAAGATAAACAAATATTTTATTGTCCTTAAATAGATATATTGATAGTCTTTTGTAATAACATTCTCTTGAGAATGATGGAAAACCAGCAATGAATACCTGAAAGGGTCTATTAGACTTTGATTGGCGTCAGAAAGCGTTGTGCAATGTTATAGACTTTGATATCGTTCTCGMCGTAAAAGGATTCACCTTGCCGTTTAATCTAACAATAAAATGTACCTAAAATTTACTATGATTTTATATTCTCAGTGAGCGAAATATATACATGATAAATCCGCTGGAAATAAACAACCGCATCTTGGCTATCAACTAATTCGTCGTAAACCGATCCGTACACTGTAACTCGTAGCTCCTCTTCCTTGAGATAATTTATCCTGATTAGTTATCCGCCTAGCCTGTAAATCTACGATCCAGGATATAGCTCTAGTTCGATTTTTACACATCTACTGAATAGAATGTAATCTTTGAAATGTTACGGGATAGTATGGAAAACCTTACATACAATAAGGAAAACTTGCATGGTTCTGGGTCTATCGTGGTCTACCAAAGTTATAGTCGAACGATGGTACCTTCATAACACACTTTTAGTTTCTCTATGTAGTTTCATTAATTTTTCACAAAAGCCATGCTTGCTACTAGGAATGAACCTCTGCRATTTCTTACTCAAACTCTCKCCAACTGGGAGCYTTAGGAAATTCAATCTATATAGAGTTTAACAAGTATTTCGTATTAAGTTCGGTTTCTTCGGATTTCATTCAGTTGCTTTCGTTGACGGAAGCCAAAACTCGTGTTTTGGGCTGGCGCCAAACTTGTTAAGGCTGCGTAATTATGAAAGGCACCCCAAAAYACACTAAAGACGGTTAAATAACAAATATCAATGATTAAAGATAAGCATTCACACAATGGAAAATGAGTATTTAAAAAACCCTAAATATGAATTATCACACACATTACTAGCTTATTTAACGACTGAAAAAAAAAAAAAAAAGCAAAATGAAAGTGCACTCGTACCTCAACAAGCCCCAGAAGAAGTGTCAGTACGAAGTTGTTAATCCTTCCAGAGTTCTCAACAAACTCACTGGACAAGCGTGGCAACTGCCCTTATTTACCCTGAGGGCGGAGTCAAATTTTGAAGGGCAGATGCCAATCTCGGAGTTTTAGCTTTTTTAGCAGTTTTTATATTTTGAACAATTTTATGGGTATTAGAGTGAATATCACATTTCCGTGAAAAACGTAAGAAATTGCATAAATTTAAAGCGCTATATGGATAGTATGTGTCAGTCACGGATATATGGCGTGTACTCTAGCCGATATTTACAGACAGCCTCTTTTRATATTGAAAAAGCTGCTAAGTTGCGTGATTAAATT